GCACCATAGGCTCTGTCCTGCGGTCCCGCCTCAGAGCGTGAGGCCTCTTGTGGGCAGAGGACTCAGGACAACCCCTATGTACCTGCATGGCTGGAGAGAAGCACGCTGAGGCAGAGCAGAAAAATTGGAATTTGGAATGTGCCATGTTCGGGGGGGGGGGTGTTAAGGGTGGTGAGGATGGAGGAGTGTTGCAAGTCATACTGACCCTTCTTCCCCTTTTGCTCTTTCACAAAGCAAGTAACAGAAGCATGGAAGGCATGGCCGTTTGCCATCATCTCTTTTATTTGATTTCTTTTACTCCTATACTTTTTTATGCCTCTGCATCAGGGGTCGGCAATTACTGTAGTTTCAGCCCTGAGCCAGTTTTTCTTAATATTGTCCATTTGAGGACTAGCTCAGGTTTACATGTGCAGTGGAGACACATGGAGGTCATTCTTTTTTCTTTTCTTTTATTAATCTGTAAACATAAGAGATTATTCAAACATTCAGGTTGGTGTTTCAGTGTTTTATGGGTGAGCCAAGGATTTTGTGTCTGATTAATTTGTTAAATCTCACAAAAACTTGCACTCTGAGAATTTATAGTAACTCACAATAAGAAACAACTTTGACTCTGATAAAAACTTCCTCACCCAGCAGAGTGCACACCTCTTCCAGGGCCCAACAGCCCCCGTATAGATCTGGATTTATTTTATTTTGATCTGCGTCACAATGCACACTCATAAATACCAGTCCCCTAAACATGTCAGATTTTTTGCCGACCCCTGCCTTATAAGCTATATATAGTGTCTATAAATATTTTTTAATGGCATGAATGGTACATTATTTCTAATGTGGGAAGGTTTGATTTGTGAAGGAATGTGGGCGGAAGGTGGGGTTGGGTGGGGGGTCTGCATTCAGATTAAGAAATGGACCCAATTCACACACAAAGACACACAATACATAGTGTCTCTTAACTCCACGGCTCACAGAAGACACCAAGTCAAAAAGCAAAGAAAACACCTTTTGTTGCCTCACATCCCTTTCTCTCCCTCTGTCCCCTGGTGGTCTCTCTCTCTCTCTTTCTCTCTCAGACCATCAATGACAGCAGTCCCATGAAGCGCTCGGCTTCATCACTGGGCCACAGCAGGTCCGGGCGAGGTCACAGAGACAAAGGAGGGGCAGAAGACTACAACATGGACCGTGTCATACCTGAGGAGGGGAGGACTTCCAGACACGGACACCGGCGAAAAGACCGGAGCCATCGGGCGTCCGAGAGGTCCCTCTGTCGTTACACGGAGGCTGACACAGGTAGGACAGACGATACACACACACAGAAACAACCATAGACAATAACATGAAGGTTTGACAGATGCCATGTTAACACAATTGCACTGAAGCTGCATTAGAGAAAAAAAACCTAAAGAAATAATATAATTTTCTCTATGAGAGATGTCATATTGTGTATCTCATATCACAATCTTTAGTGTTTTCAAAACACCTCACCCCACTGACATCTCCAACAAACATCCCATCAGGCCTGGGCACAGACCTGAGCACGACCACCCAGTCAGGCGACCTCACGTCCAAAGAAAAGGATCGTGACAGAGATCGTGGACGATCCAAAGACCGCAAACACCACCACCATCATCACCACCACCATGGCTCCGTGGAGAAGGAGCGCTACGTGGCGGAGCGAGGCGGCGAGTACGGACACAGGCACTCCCGTGACAGAGAGCATGACCGAGAGAGGGAGAGGGACCGGCGCTGGTCCCGATCGCCCAGCGAGGGTCGCGAGTGCATGACACACAGACAGGTGGGCTTCTGTGTGCTTGTGTGCATGTAGTGTCTAGTGTGAGAGCAGTAAGTTGCTTTCTAATAGACATTGCAGTGGTGGAACACATTTTCTGTTATGCTGAAAAATATAACCCAGGGGCCTCAAGTTTGATGGAGGCTAACTGGTGCAAAATGTTAATAATGTCCTGGAAGTCTGTGTTGAATTTTTCAGATGTGGTTTTGTTGCGAAATACTGATCAGCTCCGAGCTCATCGAGACCTGTGACATCTTGCAAACTTCAGTATAGGACGCTGAAAAATACTAAAAACTCACTGTTGATCAGGAAAAATAACACATCTGTTTGTCTGTTGTTTTAATGCAAAAACTATTGGACTGGTTACCAGGTGTGCGTCAGGGACCAAACACTTTGGTGCAGATCCAGGATTTATTTTTCACTTTCTTTAACATTGCAAGATTAGGCGTTTTTCCACCATTTTCCCAGGGAATAGTTCGTAGATCTTGATGAAAAACATCTGGAGATTTCAGGGAACTATGAGTGTGTGAAATCTTGGAGCAGATCAATTCAATTGAAAGAGACTGTTGTACTATTCTAGTTATTGTAGGGAATCTGGATACTCTATGTGATGCTGCCCTCAAACTAGAGGCCAACAAGTGTTGTTTTCCCTCACAAGACACAGGTTTTGACTACATGCACACAAACAAGCATATTATTGTGGGTAAATTCATGTAAGTACATATGCAGATGTTTTTTGTTAATGAAGTCACTGTTCCAATGTTCCAGCAACCAAACAAATATGCAGAAAAATGTATATTTGACTGTTGTCCCTGCCTGAGTGTTTTTGGATTGTTCTCTCATGTTCCCTCACTACCTTTCCTTTTACAACAACCTTAACGTTTTAAACTTCTTATTAAAATAGAAAACACAAAAGTATGATCGTCGCATGCTCCAAAACTTTTGTGATGCTCATCATTCAGCATAATATGTTGAATTTTTGACTCTTTTTGTGATAGCTTGAGAAAAAAGAGTAATTCTCTTTCAATGAGAAGATTTTTCTCCCATTTGAACATAGATTTGTTAAATGGCTCCTTGAAACTTGCTGTCACACAGCACGAAGTTTAAAGGCAAACATATTTTATGTATTGTCTAGTCACCATATTTACCCTGTGCCACATTTGTTGCTCAAGAAATCAACCCTTTACCCTTCTTTTCTCCTGTCGTCTTTTGTTTTCTCTCCTCTGCGTGACATGTTGCTTCTCTATGTTTGCTGCTGTTTGGAATCCACATCTGCTTCGTTTCTGTTTTGATGCCTTTCATTTCGACCGTCCTCTCCTCCACTCCACTGACATTATGACTGGTGCTTTTATTCTTATTGTTGCTGTGGTTATTGTTGTCTTTTCTTACTTTTCTATCGGGACTCCTCCTGCTGTCTCTCTGTCTCTCTATCTTGTACTCTTTCTCTCCCTTTCTATTTGTCTCATACACCTCTCTCTCCCATCTTCTACTTTATTCTACATGTTCTGTCGTTGAATTTGTGGTTCGTTCTTTTTATTTGCTTTATTTCACTTTTTGTGTAGGGCAGTAGTTCGGTCAGCGGAAGTCCTGTCCCCTCAACTTCGGGGACCAGTACGCCACGTCGAGGCCGTCGACAGTTGCCTCAGACCCCCGCAACACCCCGGCCCCATGTTACTTACTCCCCTGTGGTCCGTAAGGCCATGCCCACGCCCCCTGCAGGGCCACAGGGCAGACCCCCAGCCCCAGCCCCTCGCCGCTTTTCTCCTGAGCCTCCCCAAGGTCAAGGCCCTCCCCACACTGGCCTCCCACTCATCCACCATGGCACTGCTCGCCAGGGTCATCATCCCCCGCCTCGTTGGGGAGACACAGGTGGAGGAGGTGGCTCCATTGAAGGGGATGGCTGCTTCTACAACCAGGAATACCAGGACTATGAGCCCCACCATGAACCCCCTGCCTATGAGCAGAACCCCATACAGGGGGGTAACCCTCATCCACACGCCGTGGCCAACCACCCACTGCCGCCCCCGCCACAACCACAGCCACATAACCCCCATCCCCTCCCTCCACCCCAGCCACACTCCGTAAACAATCCTCACCCTCATCCACCGGCCCACCCACAGCCCACTCGCACCTCACCTAGGACTGTACACCACGCGCCTCCTCCCACCACTGCCCTGACTGGGCCTGTGCAGGGCCAGGTGCAGTCTGCTGCCCAGCGTCGCCTACCCAATGGCTACCGCTCCTCATCACCTTCCACACATCTCCATGGACCTCCACATACTGGGCCTCACAAGGTGCCCCCTCCAGCTGGGCATCCTAGGGGGCCCCGCAAGGGCCTGCATGAACCCTACAGCGAGACGGAGGACGACGACTGGTGCTAGCCTCTGGGGGAGGGGGATGGGCATAAGGAGGAAAAAAGACAGATAGATGGACTGAAAGATGGACATGGGGAGCTCTCGGCCGGAGCAATGACTGCCAAGGGAAACCACGACTTTTTCTTTCTTGTCGATTCAATTCAATTTTTCCTCTCCTCCGGTGCTTGGCATGTCCCAGCGATGGTGGGCTACATGAAGGGATGGGTGTCAGGATGAGGGGATGGAACAGAAATGCCGAGGCAGGATCTTGAGAAACAAATGGGTAAGAGGGGAATCACAAGCCACCTCCATGTTCTGCTGGCGTTGTTGTTGCATTCATTCTCTTGATGCCAAATGAGACCAACCTCAAACTGCAAATTTTAAGGATGCAAGCAGGAGGGGTGATGGACACTAGTCTTTGTGTGTCTTAAATTTTGCCTCTGGCAACGAGCTACAGCCACTTACAAGATGTCAAGAGTTGCGACTCGACAAAAGACACTTTACAGTCAGAGACAAGAATGACCACTTTTTTTTAAGCTAACGCGAGTAAAGTTAGCAGAGAAAAGAATCGAATCCAACCCTCCCAGCCACCAGTTGAATATTGATGAGTTTTATCATCTGTGTTTTTAAATAAGAACAAAACTGACAATTAGCCCTCCGCCTGTATGAGGTGAGAAGTCTAAGTGGGTGGGAGAGTTGGGGAGCGTTGCACAGGGTTGATAAGTCTCAGTCAAAATCTAGAGGACAGGATGGGGTTGTTTTTGGGGAAGTTTACCCCTGTCCCCAGAGAACACCCTCCTCCCTGAAACAATTTAACCAACCTCAACCAATAACCTAAAAGAGAAGAAAAACAAAAATGTGGAGATGGGTTTCAGAAACGAAAAAACAAACCAGGAACTGTTTTCTGCAGTATTTCTTCTATTCCTGCAGCTGCTTCTTCTTCTTCCTCCTTCTCTTCTACTTCTTCAAAACATCGAAGCTTGAATCTTCTGTTGCACCCCACACAGCTTCGTTTTTTAGACTTGCGGAGTTTTACACCCTGTGGAATCCTGCATGAATGATACAAAAAAATATATTAATAGCAACAATGAGAATCTACTGTATGTGGGGGGAAGTTTTCCTCAGTCCTTTCTGTTGTGGTCTGTAGGGTTTCTCTTTTTGTTTCTTTGGTTTAAAAAAAAAGCCTTTCTGTTTCTCTCTCTCTCTCACTCTCTCTCTCTCTCTCTCTCTCTCTCATCTGTTTGACATTCCTCTCTCTGTACCTTCATCCACACTAAAATCAAGTGACCGAAGGATATGGGGAGACCGGAGAGTTACTGTTCGTAAATCTCGACAGAACAAAATGATTACTTTTTGCTTGCTTGTCTGTATGTTCTGTGCCAAATGCTTGCCACTGATACAGCTGGAATTGCACATATTTTTGTGGAAGTAACTTTTTGTAACTAAGGTGATAAATCCTAAAATGATACACTGGGAAGCAGGGTAATGTAGAGCGGTGGAAAAAAAGTGTCCATGTTGGTGAGCAAGTTTGACAAATTAGTAACATCTCAAAAGTCTTCCAGGGTTTTGGGTTAAAATAGAAACACTAGAGAGAAAGAGACCAATAGAAAGGAGAGGAACTCGTCATTGTTGTTTTCTTTGTTCCCGATCATCATAATGGATACACAGATAATATAATAACTTCAAATGATCATGATGATCGTGATAATGAGGCAGATTCTCCATATAGTTTTCTGTGTGTTTGTTTAATTTTAAGCACAACAAATCATTTTTCCAACCTGCACTTGCATTGTGGGAGAATGGGTTTGCAGGAGGGCAAACATACGTCAAAGATAAGCAGTCAATAGGTTAATGAATTTTAGAATATAGAGAGTGGATGATAATGAGATTGCTTCACTACTGGTTTCTGAATTCAAAAAAGGTTTACCCTCCTGCAGTTGCTAACATAGAGTCCCACCACTCGTGACCTTTAGGTGGCAGTGTCAGACAAACAGCCTGTGGTTTTTACCGGCTCCCCCTTTTCTTCACCTTAGAGTCGGAGCTGTTACACACTGATCAGTTCATTCTCTCACTAGTAACAACACCTCATCTGTGGTAACACACAGGTGACTCACACTTCAGATGGGTTGGAAACAAAGATTTCCGGACCTTGTCATGATCCTGGGGGGGTAAAAAAAAAATTAATGTTATGTGTGTTTCACTCCTATATATCTTTATTTCAATCTGCGTGTTTCTCTGTGTGCCTCAAACTAACACTTGTCGTCACTAACACACATCACTGTCAGCCCCGACATGACCATCATCATTTTATTTATGTATCTGACCAATATTTTACCTGGAGGCCTATCACATGTTGACCAGAGAATGCACCGAAAAAATTGAAAAGAAAAAAAAACTGCCTATTAAGTGTCTTTCCAACCTCAGTGGAATGTCACAGACAAGTATATTTTCACATCTCTACACTTAAAATCAGAAAGCACACTAGGTATGTAGCTCCTGGTTGTGTGTGTGTGTGCGTGTGTGTGTAGATGTTTTATTCTTGTGCTTGCTTTGCTTTCTTTTTCTTTTCTCCAGAACTCTAATTTGAATCTTATGATTTTCCAGTCAAGTCATTGTAATAATTATTGTGTGTGTGTGTGTGTGTGTGTGTGTGTGTGTGTGTGTGTGTGTGTGTGAGTGTGAAAGAGTATGAGAGTTATTTAAAAAACCACTGAATGAATCATGTAAAGCCCCAAACATTCACCATCCATCTTAGTGTCTATGCTGCAGTGAAATCCACTAACACGCTGATTAACCACACAAAGTCTTCAAAAAGCAATGTAAAGCCGCTACTGAATAAAAAACAGACAAAAAAAACTTTTTTAAGTACAAAAGATTGAAAAAACAAGAAAAAATATCTAGTTCCAGAAATGCATGTGCTATGTGCATGCCACACCGTGGATTAACAGTCATCTTCAGGACATAAAAGAAAAAGCAGATTAATGAATTCAGAGGAATAAAAAAAGATATATAAATAGATAGATGTTTTTAAAAAGCAACGTTTCCTTTTTTTCCTTCTATTTTTGAGAACAAAAAAGGTTAAAAACTACAAAAAAAAATGTCTAAAGAATGAAAACACAAAAGAGACTTTGGTTAGAGTCAGAGTCTCGTTTTTTTCTTCTGTTACATGGGTTTGAGGCACAACCCAACCATGTTCAGGACACCACAAAAGAAGAACTGTTTTTAATGGAAAAAAATATATATAAAGAAAAGAAAGTGCAGTTCAGAAAACGGTGTATTCTCCCTTCTACTTTTTGTGGGGGTCAGGGGGCGCAGGAGGAGGCCACATCTGATGATGTAATCATTATAACTGGCTGTGGAACCTTTGAGCTCTCACTCACTCCCTCTTTTCTTTCTCTCTCTCTCTCTCTCTCTGACTCTCTCTCTCTCTCACTCTTTATCTGTCGCACTCTCAACCTGTCTCACCGCTATTTCTACCAGTGCATTTTGTAATTCCAAACAGAACTCTTCCTAAAGAATAAAATCCAGAGAGAATGCACACCGTCTGGCCTCATGTTCTTATCCACATTATTGCTCTATCTGTTTGTTTTGTTTGCTGTGTGAGGCTCAGACTTTGGGCTAAAGGTGAGTTCAATAAGTTTTCATACATGGGCACAGCTTCTTCCTTGAAAACACTGAAGCTGGAAACAGGGTTGATGAGTTGTGAGTAGTGAGACTGAACTAAACAGAAGCTATGAGCTGTAAGATGCATAAAACACTCTGTTGACTGCCGACTTTCATAATATACCTTGCAACTGTTATTAACTGTTAGAATAAAAAGATTCTTAAGTGCGGCTTTAAGTTAATAAACGTAATGTGCAGATGAGGAAATTATGCATGAATTCATCTCATATGCTTTACAGTCCTTTTACCCCAGTTTCTGTTCCCTTTGTTCTCGCAAATAAATCCCAATATCCACTAGGAAATAAAACATTTTTATGCTTTTGTCTGCAGACGTCATGCATGTCAGCATATTCACTCATATGTAGTTTGCGTGTGTGAGAGAAAGGGGAGTGGGTAAAGAAAGGAAAAGGCAGATGTACTTACTGACATGAGATGGGCGAAAGTGCATGTGTGTGTTTAAGTGTATGACGTGTATTTTCACAGGCATGTCCAGACGGTTCCGGCCCCTCCTCAAATCCCTGTGTGCACAGACAGAGAGACGGGCTGCTCTGATTTCAGCCGGAAGAACAAGCGGCACAGTTGGGGCCTCATGGGGGGGGCTCACTGTCTCACACAGGCACTTCCCCCCACATTCCTCTCTCTGTGTTTTCCTGGCTTATCCCCCTTCCCCCCAAACACACAGCCACCGGTGAATCCCTGTCGCACACCCCCACCACCTCGTCTGTTGCTGTCTGGTATGCACAGCTTTCAGAAACATTGATGTAAATGTAGATGGAACCTACTGCTTTCTTTTTGAAATGCACGTTTCTACATATGGCCAAGTTCGATGTCCATTATAAATAAGAATCTGTTCATTTAAATTGAGTGAGCTTTGTAAACAAAAACATTATGTAATGGTGCAATGCAGGTTGATAACTCATGTGTTTCATTAAACATGCTTCAATCTTAAAATACAGTAGGTTACCTATACATTTACTTGCGTTACTCCAGAAGTAATAGATTTCTTCTGAACCACAGCATGTTGTCACCACTAAATAAAGGCCCCCGGCTCTTAAACAGCCAGGGGACCCCCAATTGTCCCCAGTGTTTGACAGCCCACCAGATTGTCCCAGCTTTTGTTCTGCAAATCACTGTGGGGGGAAGGAAACAAACTTCTTCACACCCAAACCAGCTTCCTGTGTCACACACACTACTTTTCACACCAACTTCTCTGAACCAACCCCCCCCCCCCCCCACACACATATATAACTTTTCCTCGATATCACACATATGACATGTTTACAAATAACATCACTCAGGTTTCTTTGCGAGTAGAAAAGGTTTAATAAATACTGAGGTAGATGCAGTCATCCAATGTTTTTTACACTTTGCCACCTTCAGTCAGCATGAAGGCCTCCACACAACACACTCCAACAACAACACATCTGAGCAGATGAGGGCTCACACAGATGTTCATGTAAAGTTCATTGTTGTTCATAAAGGCAGGTTTGAGGCCTGGTCCCGGGGAAGCACCACTCCAGCTGAGCTCCGAGCTGTGGCTCCTGTTCAGGCCTAAAGTCACTGAGGACTTCTCATCCATCCGCTTCCGTGATTCCTGGAGCATGTCCGGGCTTGTTGGGAGTCACGTCCGGGCCCGGGGGGCCTCTCCAGGATCCACCACCCCCGCGGTGTTTATCCGTGTGACCCCCCGGGTACTGGCCCGCTGTCGGGTGCGTTCAGGCTCCTGTGGGAAAAGTTCATATCCCCCTGTTCTGGGTTTCAACACGCTGCTATGGCTCTGTGTATGGGCATGGGGGCTGGGTGCGCTCCCAGGCTGCTACAGTTCATATAGTCCATGAGCACCGGGCTCACAAGCAGCTGTTGGGGGCAGCTCGTCTGCTCCAGTTTCGCTTTCTTACACGGGAGGAAATCCGGCTCGGCGGCCGCTTTGCCTCGTCTCTTCCTCGACGGTTGAGCCGCGACGGTGACGCTCGGGCACCGGTTCTCCTTGTCCTCCGTGCGGGGAGCAACGACTTCCTCTCGGGGTAAAGTCCGGAGCGAAGCGGGACCCCGGAGTTCCACACAAGAGGACTCCGTGTTCCCCTGAGCCGCCGCCGGCTGTTGTTGTTCGCAGCCGGGTTCGACACCCTCCGCCGTCGCCTGGGCCTCGTGGTAGATGTCCCGGGCGGACTTCATGACCAGGGTGAGCAGGAGGCTCCGGTGCAGGCGGAGACCTCCTCTCTGGCTGCGGGAGCTGTACAGTTTCCCCAGAGCCACGACCATGATCCTCTTGGCCTCGGCGCTGACCTCCATGTTTTCCAACTACAACAACAGAAGCAGGTTCGCTCGTGCTTCACGTCTCTTCTCTGACTTCACAGCGGACACGACGCCGCTCGGCCTCACGACTCGTATTTATCACCTCTGTGACGTTGCCGGTCGCGGCGTCATAGGACCGAGCCCCGCCCACGGGCCTGACCCCCGGTGTGCGGTTTCAAACAGCCCCGCAACAACTGGTTGGACAACTGCGGCTATATTTAAATTCAGTGTCCTGTGTCCACACATGATTAGCGATCTGAACACAGTGAAAACACAGCATCACAGCAGGGGATGACTCACACTCATAACCAGTGCTCATGTGAACATGAGGTGCAGACAACAACAACACACACACACACACACAGGTTTGTGCAGCTGCCCTTATTAGGACTGTGCATTGACTTACATTCATAGTGGGCAAAACCTTTTTCCCCTAACCACAGTCACTTCACTACTAACCCCAACCTTCAAGGGACAGTCCGCTGAAATACAATTTAGGAAACCGGTGACCACAAAAACAAAACATAGCCTCCTCCATACTGCTCATGTGGCATCATCCAAGTGTCCTCAAGCCCTGACTGGAAACAGCATCGTTTACACCATGTTTTAAACCTGCAAGTTATGAAAACACATGCAAATAAAATAAAGATGTGCCAATTAAGAAAACCACCAATTTTTAATGACATGTGCAGAGGGGACCCAAAAGAGTGATGAACTTGGCTGTTGTTCAATTCTTTGAGGTATTGAGGTCAAATATATAAAGGGTTTTTCTTAATTTGCACGTGTTTTTTTATTTATTAATTTGCAGTGCATTGAGCTTTCTCGGCCACCGTGTTTGCCTCTTCTGGACCAGGCACTGGTTGCCAAAAGGTCAACCAACAAGGGCTGTGTGTATGCTGGAAAAGGTCAAAGGAGAAATTGGAAATAGAAATATCAGTGAAAGTGGTACATTTGTAGATATGCATTACAAACACAAGCAAATTTAAAATATATATTTAAACATAATATGTACATTGTGAACTGTATACAGCGTAAAACTGAATATATAGGATATAAAAGGATTTCACCAAGGACTTGAATTGTACAGATAGAAAATGAGTTTTGCACAGTATACATGAAGTTCAACCAGAGCGAGTTTACAGTGCAGTCGAAGTATGTGGTGCATGTGGTCGACTGAGCTGGTTGTGAAGGGACGGCCTGTGATACATTTCCTTCGGACACATTAGTTTTAAAATCTCACCTGCACAGTTAGTGTCTCATTAGTGAACAACCTAAGGGTTCACGTTTTACACTGAAACTCCCTCTGCAGCTTTAAAGCACGTCAGGTTAAATGAGCTCTGCCACATTTTTTTGATGTGCTCTAAACTATTTACAAATTCCAAGTTGACTGTAATACGCTGCTTGACGAACAGAAGTTGAAGCAGATGTTTAGTCTCTCTCACATGAGGAATGAAAAGCATTCCACTGCCCCAGCTATCTGGAACAGTCATTGAAGGCTCTCAACCAGTCTCACCCATCCCCCCAGTGTCTCACTTCCTTTAGCAGGAAAAAAGAAAAGGAAGGGGGGGGGTTAACAGACAGATGCCCTTATTAAGCACATCCTGCTCATGTGGTACATCCAGAGGAAAACCCATGACGTGAGTGGGAGCCCTTGTTTCCTGGAGCCATTTAAAGCAACAGCAGCACAGCATTGCGTCAGGGCCTGCCGCTTCCCTGAGCCCATATTTGGGCAATGGAATCCATTCCTCCAGGTTGTGTGGAGGTTAGAAAAAGCCCAGTGATTTCACTAGTCCCTGGAACTCTTAGTTACAATGCTGTGACATCATAAAAACTATAATGTCATTCTGTCGAGCATCAACTGGAGGTTTGCTGCTCCTGCAGATTTTAGAGAGCGTTTGTTGTTTGTTGTGCAACTTCTTGTTTCTGGTGTTGTGGCATTTTGACTAATTACAACCTACAGAGGAAAACAGGCCGACGTCTGCATTTAAAAAACATGATTCAACAGTAGAAACTTGTCTTTGTGGCAGGTGTGAATCAAAATGGTGTCTCATCTTTTACAGCATCATGCAACTAATCTACTGCTATTTTGAAATGCATGGTCACACTGGTCATGGGTTCAAAGCATCACCTTATTTGCAGGTATATCATTTTTTGGTTGATTGTTGAGCTACTGAAAATCCTCTCACTGGCAAATAGTGCCCCCTGTGTTCATTTCATTGCGTTGAAGCAAAATTGTGGAGCCTGTTCAGGGGTGTTACGTGTACTTTAGAGAGGACAGAACACAGAACTCACCTACAGGCCTGACTGATGCATTAGTCACCAGATTTTCTACTGGGCCTGCATTATTTCAATCATTTAATTAATCCAGACTAATATCTAAAGACTCTCCTGTAGGTAATATCACTGCTGTCAGTGGGGTCCACACAATTTCACCAATGGCATCAGCAATGCTTTGTGATCTCTCATACCCATGTAAAAACTTGCACTGAAACGTTATCACCGTTTTGAACTGCTAAAATTCCTGTGCCCCAAATCTGAAGAATTATATAACTACCAAACTAGAGTGTAGTGCATTTTTTGAACCAGGGGAGAGGGACCTGTGTCCTCTGGTTGAACAGCCTGCAACACAATTTGATCCACCACATTCGGACAATGTTACAAAGGTGAGTCTTGAGGTGAGCGAGTTAACTGGTACCAAGCGTCAACCTGGGTCAGGGAAGAACCCATTACACAAAATACACATGAGCCAAATAGTGAGTAGATCAGCTGATTCTTTAATAAATTAATATTTTTTTACATCCAAAGGTATTAATAAAACATTTGGGGTAGTAGCCACGGACACTAATCCCTAATGACGGCCATAATCAATGTGTCACAATTAACCAGACTAATAGTTACACGATAATGATGAAGATTATTATAATATAAAGATTATTAGATGTTGATGGGCTCCTCCTTCAGTGTGGCTGCAGGTGTCTCTTAGCCCCGCCCCTCTGTGTGACTTCACTGCAGTGGTCTCGCTCTGTGATTATGTCATAGCTTGGCTTTACGACGGTCTCTGATGCCGTACAGAACGGCGTGAGCTTTGTCGAAGGCATCACCGACAGCCGACTGAACTCTGCTCCTCCACCTCTGCAGCTGAGGACGATCATTCAGGACGTCCCTGCCACCCCCCATGGGCTGCAGAGACACAGGTTAACTCAGGTTAGCAACAGAAACGACTCAGTCAGCTGATCAGTGTCTCTATCAATCTGACCTGCATGAGCTCACAAACCGCGAGCAGGTCAGCCACAGAGATGTCGTCACCACAGAGGAAAGGCTGCCTGTGAAGGTACATGGACTCCAGTTTATCCAGCGTGTCATCAAGCTGAGAAAGAGCATGATTCAAATGCACCTCATCCACCGGAGTGCCCGACTGAGCTGGGAGGAGAAACTGAGGCGGGTGGAGACAAAGACAGTGTTTATCAGCGACTGGACACAAACCTTTATTTCTCATAAGGGTTAGTTAATGGCATCATAGGAATCATTGTCAATTTTTAAAAATTAAATATGTTTATAAATATCGGCATCAGAAATGTGCTGGTACCTCCAGAATGAAAACTTTAGCAGCATGTGGTCGTGTGTAGCTGTGATGCCAGGCTGTGTATTCGTCCACTCTGGCTCGTCTTTCTGGGTGTCGTGGATACCAGTGATCTGGGACGTCATACTTGTTGGCCAGGTACTTCAGGATGGCATCACTGCAACACACACAAACAGAAAAAACATGCAAACACAAGTAAACTACAAAAATAGAGATAACATAGTGACAGCAATGAGTTTGATCTGGAAACAAATATGTAAGTGTGAATATGTGTGTTTACCTCTCTGTGAGCACAAAGCCATTATCAACCATGACTGGAACCTTCTGCATGGGATTCAATTTAATGAACTCCTCAGTCCTTTGCTCCCCTGTAAAGTTGAAAAAGCAGCTCAAACCAAACTCCATTCAGAAATCAAGTGGTTTAATAATCCCTACACGGTGTTAACCACACATACAAAACACCACACACAGCCTAAAGAGCGACATTTCCACAGGACGTTGTATAAGAGTGTATTCATGTGCTGAACTTTGTTTTAAATCCTCAGATGTGTTTTACACTCTCTTATCATTGCCTTCTTTAAAAAAAAATTCCAGCCATGTATCGTTTGATGGGCAATGACAATGACTTTCCTCTCTGTTGATAGGCGGCTTACAGCCTTCTTCTGTCCTCTCTGATTGAAATTTAGAAGTGAATTAAATGTTTCTGATTTTCATAACACTGTGCAAGGGGTAGAAGGCTTTCTCATTGGAAACTACAAGTTAACATATAAACAAAAGTGAGCAGATCAGCTGATATATTTATTTTTTAACATTAATTCACGTGCCGAACTTTACAGATGCCCCTTCAAAACACGTCTGAAATCCTCAGATGTGTTTCACCTGTTATGTTGTTGCACATTTGAAACGCACGCGTCGAATCGTCACTTATTTTGAAGGAGTTTGGTTACAGTGCGACACGAGTGGGGCAAAGTTCTCTGGGGCAAAGGTCACGACGAGGGAAAGTCTCCTGAGCAAAAAAGCAATGGCTGGTAAACTGACCTCAGCACAGACCGGTCAGTTGGTCAGTTCCCTCAGTGACAGCTGGTTGTGTTTAACCCACCTTTCCTCAGTGCCACGGTCTGGACTCTGTGCGGGATTCGAACGCAGTTGAGGAAGATGTGCAGCGCCCGGCAGGGCTGCGACAACAGGTCCAGATACACCTTCACCGACCCGCCCGCCGCCATGGAGCCCGAGAGAGTTTCACCTTTTACCGACTGGAAATGTTCAATGTTCAATTTTCAAGAGACGCTTCACTTTCATTCTCCACAAACTGCAGCTCTTCTTCTGCTGTGTCTGCACGAAGTTAGCGGCTCCCGTGCGCCCTCTGCAGGCCGATCCACACACTGCAGCTGCTCCAGAGAACATGTGATATAAAGAAAATACTCAGAGAACTCTGCGAAATATCAGTAAAAGAGGAAAAATAATCGATGAATTGCCATATATGACA